GTGCTTCTACTATTACTAAAGCCCAAGTTGCAATCAAGACTGCTGACAGGTAGAGTATGCATACTGCCCCATCTCTTTTTCTCTACCTCCACATTGGAAAGGGGATTATATTTAAATATGACATTCCACTAAGTATTTCTTGTGTTGTTACTTACTAAATCTGACTTGTTCTTACCTAGCAGGACTTCAGTAAGTGAAAATTTACAATGAACATTGATCATATAGCCAATTTAAAAATAATAATAGTAAACAGGTATGCTTTGAGGGGCTGGAGTTGTGTAACTCCAATAGTTGTGAAGGGCATTAGACATTGTTTATCTACTTCAGGCAATTAGATGTAACTTAAATAGATTTAGCCTTAAGAAAATAGGAGGTAAGAATGGGGTCTTTTTGCAACATTGTCTTGGTAACAATATGTGTGTGTTGCTGGGAATGGAACCCAGGGCCTCCCACCTGCTATGCATGTATTCTCTTGCTGAGGAACTCCAACCCCAGTCCCTAAATTTTTAATTGGAAGATTCCATCATCCTAACTAACAAAAAATGGATCTTTATCCATTCATGGATTTTAGTTTGAAGTATTGAAATACTTAAAATACTATATACATAAAATGTTGAGATTATAACAGCTATTTCATTTTATCAGAATAATCTGGTTAATCCACTGTCTTTTCTTCAAAGATAACAGGAAAACCACTTGTTTATTGTTAGGAGCAAATGAATGCTTAACACAGGTACTGTGCTGTATACCTGTAATCCCAATGACATGGGAGACAGAGACAGGAGGATCGCAAATTCAAGGCCAGACTCAGCAACTCTGTTAGACCATGTCTCAAGATAATAAATAAAAAGGCCTGGAAGTGTAGCTCAGTGATAAAGCATCCTTGTGTTCAATCCCCTGTACCAAAAAAAAAGAATGCTTAAGAGATTCTTCAATCTCTAAATCTGATAAGAAATTGACAAAAATGCTTGATGATCTAATAGATAACTTGACATGATAGTCAAAGATTGGATGACAACAGAAGTTTATATAAAGAAGTTTTATTAATATATTGAGTGTGGTAAAATAATTGATTCCATAGGTACTTATAAATGCATAAGAACTAAGAATGATTCAGTAAACCATAAACTTAGAAATCTGGAGAAAAAAAAATGTCACTGAAAGTTCTTTGGTAGGGCTGAGGATGTGGCTCAGTGGTATATTTACAGAAGCAACAGATTAACCACATTTTTGTCATTTTGGTTCTTTAGAAATCTTAAAAAGGCACAAGACTCAATTGTTCTCACAGAGAAAGAAATAAAAGACACTGAGAAAGAAGTTAGTGACTTAACAGCAGAGCTAAAAAGTCTTGAGGACAAAGCAACAGAGGTCATAAACAATACAAATGCTGCAGAGGTAAGAATTGGATATACAACCTCAGTGTCTTATAGTAAGTTAGTAGGTTAAAAGTTTTTATAACTAAGCTTATGAAAACTAAAGCTTTTCTGTGAATTAAGGTACTTTATTTAAAGTGGAAGGGATATTGGGAGAGATTGCTAACTCCCATCTTTGTAATGTATATATCTGTTCTATTTGGGAAGACCATAACCTTATAGCAGTTCTTCTTGATTTTTAGAAATCCTTACCAGAGATCCAGAAAGAACATCGTGATCTACTTCAAGAATTAAAAGTTATTCAAGAAAATGAACATGCTCTTCAAAAAGATGCACTTAGTATTAAGTTGAAACTTGAACAAATAGATGGTCACATTGCTGAACATAATTCTAAAATAAAATATTGGCAAAAAGAGGTGAGATTGCAGGGGCTGGGGTTGTAGCTCAGTGGTAGAGTGCTTGCCTAGCGTGTGTGAGGCACTGGGTTGAATTCTCAGGACTGCATATAAATAAATAAAGGTTCATCAACAACTAAAAAACAATTTTAAGAAAAAGGTGAGATTGCTGCCATTAGTTAACTTTATACCAATTTTTCATGAAAAAAGGTTTGGAGTGTTTTGTTTTTTGAAATATATTTTGACTTAATTCTGTGATATAATCAGTTTTCAGGTTTATAAGGGGTATAATGACCAGTAGTAATATTAAGAGAAATCTGTTTAGTAGTTAGTATAGGGCAGTTACTTTCTCATCCCATGTTTTCATGACTACTTTTTCATGTTCATTTAAAAAAAAAAAATAGTGACCTATGCCCATAATCCCAGCAACTGAAAAGGCTATAACAGAAGGATTGCAATTTCAAGGCCAGCCTTGGCAACTTGATAAGACCATAACTTACACAAAAAGCATTGTGGATATAGCTTAGTGGTAGAGCTCCCCTGGGTTCAATTCCCAATATTACAAAAAAACTAATAATGAATCATAGAACCATTTCTTCTTTCTCATATAAATTGAACTTTCAGATTTCAAAAATATCATTACATCCTATAGAAGATGATCCTGTTGAAGAGGTTTCAGTTCTGAGCCAAGAGGATCTCAAAACAATCGAGAATCCAGATTCTATAACAAATCAGATTGCACTTATGGAAGCACAGTGTCATGAAATGAAACCAAACCTCGGTGCCATTGCAGAATATAAAAAGAAGGTATGGATGGACTATTTATATGTAATAGTCAAATTCTTTTAGTTCTTAGTATAAATTAGGACCTTTAATGCTAATTCAGATCTCAGATTTATATCTGAATAGATTTTTCTCACAATCTTTTCACAGGAAGAATTGTATTTGCAACGGGTAGCAGAATTGGACAAAATTACTTCTGAAAGAGATAGCTTTAGACAGGCTTATGAAGATCTTCGAAAACAAAGGCTTAATGAATTTATGGCAGGTTTTTATATAATAACAAATAAATTAAAGGAAAATTACCAAATGCTTACTTTAGGAGGAGATGCTGAACTGGAGCTTGTAGACAGCTTGGATCCTTTCTCTGAAGGAATCATGTTCAGGTTTGTAAAGTTTAGAATCCTGTGGCCTATTTTACATGTTCTCCAAATTGACATTTCTTGAGAAATGTGAAGGTGGGATCTACACATCTTGGTTAGAAGGTCAATATTTATCTGTTTAAATGTAATGGCAATTTACAGCATAAATTACATGCAAATAGCAGATATTTAATCTTTCTCTTCCTACATTTTTAATTTTCAAGCCTTTTCAATCTACATAAAGACTGAGAAATTATACAGAATAAAGAGAAAGGATAGCAAGCAGTACATGACACTGCTGTTTGGTATATGTTCCAACTGGTAAAATTCATATATTTGGAAAAAACAAATGAGATTTCTAAGTAAAAAGATGGTAGAAATCAGTTATAGAAAACAAATCATGAAGTGTTAACCTCAGCTTTACAAGTAATGTAACTGAAAGATTTTCATAATTATTGCAGTGTTCGACCACCTAAGAAAAGTTGGAAGAAGATCTTCAACCTTTCAGGAGGAGAGAAGACACTTAGCTCATTGGCCTTAGTATTTGCTCTTCACCATTACAAACCCACTCCTCTTTATTTCATGGATGAGATTGATGCAGCCCTTGATTTTAAAAATGTGTCCATTGTTGCATTTTATATATATGTAAGTAATGGTGGATTTTGTTGTTTTTTTAATTCTGGAAGATTTGTGGTTTCCATACACATTACATATAGATAGAATTCCTTAAATTCTTTCTTATTACTGAGCTTTTATCCCTATTCTCTAACTCCCTGTCTTCTGGTATCAAAGGAGACCAAATAATTTCTTATTTATTTTGAAGAATAAATTGATGATGCAAATTAGTAGAATCATAGCTAGAATCCCAGATCTCCTCCTAGATCTTTTCTATTAGATTTCTACAGTTATGCTCCCATATTTTCCTCTTAAGCTCACACTGATTAAATTTTAACAATCTATGTAATGTTGAACTTACACTGCCAAAAAAAAAAAAAAAAAATACTTGAAAGTAAAGTTTAGCTGTTTATTATGTGATTTACCTGCTACTACTTAATATTCCTTATTGTTTTTCTCTTTAGGAACAAACAAAAAATGCTCAGTTCATAATAATTTCTCTTCGAAATAACATGTTTGAGATTTCAGATCGACTTATTGGAATTTACAAGACATACAATATTACAAAAAGTGTTGCAGTAAACCCAAAAGAAATTGCATCAAAAGGACTTTGTTGAACTTGTTCATACTGAAGAGTCTTCAAACTGAATTAGAGTTGTATAAATATTCCTAAACTGTATGACAAAAAGCTTCTATTTTATTTTATGCTGTTATTGTATAAAATATATATATATTCTCTATATTGGGAAATTGTAAGAATGTGTTTTGTTTGTTAAGTGCAAACTGGAGGAAAATAAAATGCCAGAGAGTAGGTGACTTGGCCTACACTGGAAAGGCTAGCTAATCTTGTTCAATTTCTTAAGGCATTCCACTCAATTTACCAATTCTGACAATCACTGTTTTTATTACCTAAATAGGAACATATTCTTGCAAATCAGTCATTCTGAATTTTTACAGGGAAGAGTTTGAAATGTACATTTGTAAAACTTGATGTGCCCATTTAAAACTTAGAGTGTTACCTAACAGATTGTCAGGATTTTATTAGGAAGTTATGCTACTAGAAATAGTCTGGGAAACAGTTTTCAGAAGGAATTTTTGTATTGAATCAAGTCTTTGCCTTAGCTCTTCAATCTCTAGATATGCTCATTAGTTAACTCCTCATTCATTAGGTATTAAAAATCCAACAGTTTGCATCATACTAAAGCCATTGAAAATGTAAACACTGGCAGCATGAACCTAAATAAAGCAAAATCTGAAATTTCTAGTATTGTCATTGCTTGAAATCAAGGTTTCATAAGGGAAAAATAAGTTTAATAAGGGCTGGGATATGGTTTGGTATCAAGTACTAAAATTGGAGAGAGAAATGAATGAAATTATTGAACAGCTAAGACCAAAATACCTAATGCAATGCCCATATGAAAATTCCAAAGCTACCATCCTAATTTTGACCACCTCGTTAAGCCAGTCAATGCAAATAAAATACCAAAAGGAGTTTATTAAAATGAATTACTTACACATAAGAAAATTTCAAGATTATGTACTTAAAGGGGTACAGTCTCATCCTGTGAAATACAAAAGAAGCATAGTAGTCTCATTAATGTCAAGCCTAAATTGCTGTATTGCTGTTAATGGGCATACACCTACAAGTAATTCTTAGAACACCTAATTTATTAATTAGTCTTGGCCAATTCAATTTGAGCATAAACTGAAAAGAATCCATGGGTTCTCCCATGTGTTACTACCTATATGACCTTGTGTGTTTTCTTATGTGCAAAAAAATGGGTTAAGCTAACACTGGAAACATAGGATAATTGAATTTGATCTTAATGGTCATTAAACGACAATGTCCTTTATTGCTTTTTTAGATTTCTAAGCAAACATTTAGTGCTTAAGTCTATGTACCAGATACCGCTGTTTCTTACAATTGTCTTTAATAGCTGGACATAACTCACCTCTCATTAACACCCTTCCAATGTTCTGACCACACAATGATTGTGCTGAATGTAGACCAATTGTGATCCTATATTAATGTAATGCCATCATCTGTGTTGACTTAATCTCAGCTGGTAATAAGACCTTAGGAGTTCTTTAGAACTAGTTCCCTGAACAAAGTTACATTCATTCATTATAACCTAGCTGTACATAATCTGTAGGGCTAAGAACATTACTGACCTGGAAAGTGTCTGAACCAAGTAAGGCCCAGAAAGGTCATCCAAGAGCAGCCAGTCTGGGATTTTTGGAAAGCAAATGAGTTTGTATGCTCTGGATTTCACAGGTAATGGGCTAAAAGTCCTCCAACAAGCACCACAACTACAGCCCATTAAGGGAATTTGAGTTCTGGCTTAATAGGCTCCTCCCTTGAGAAAAGTTCAATATAAATTTGCATTACCCATGGGAACATGTGACAAAATTTTATTAAGATGAATATAATGCTATCAAAATCTGTTGGAAATGAAGTATATCATCAGCATGACTATCTAGTAACACGTTTTACAGTTTTTATCCAAGAACTGATTTGACTAAAACATTACAAAATATTTTTTGGTAGTGCTATAGATCACATAGGCAAGAGCTCCACTACTGAGCCATAACCCCAGTTCTTAAAAAAAAAAAAAATTGAGAAAAGAGCTGGGGGTGGGGATCTTGCTATATTGCCCAGGCTGACCTTGAACTTGAGATTCTTACAACTCAGCCTCCCAAATAACTAGGACTACAGGCCTATACCACCACACCCAGCTCCCGAATGACAAATCTTAATATTAGAAATTGTCATTGTTCACTAACATTGACTATCCAAAAGCTTTATTTGGAAAGGTATTAAACATTTTGGCACTCTTTACCTAGTTCTGTTTGACCAAAAAGATCTTAAAGCAGTCCGTTGTCACAAGACTTTGCTGCTTAACCTTTTAATCTTTTTAACATCCTTATTCATCCATTCAAAGGCTTCAAACTTTTAAGGATTTTTTTTTTTTTTTTTGAGAATTTTCCCATCTTTTAATCTAAAAACTATATAGAGAGAAAGATGCAAAGCCAATAGTATAAAATGTTTAAATAGTCCCAGCAGCTTTAAATCAACCTCTTTCATTCAAACCAATAAAAATTAATTTCCAAATCAATTACTAGATTTTATTGTAGTTTTCTAATTATGACTTAGCTATTATGTCTGACATCTCTTCAACAAAAGCATAAGTTTTAACATTTCTATATATTTATATTTGTTGCAAATCAAGTTTGGTTGCTATTTATGCTACCCCTATTTCTCCATTTAGCAGTGGTTAGCTTCTGCTATATACAATGAGCCTATTTACAATTCTGATTTGTTTTCAATAAGAAACTATTTTCCACATGAATTCCTTTAGCAAATATAAGGTATGACACAGTATATTTCTTAAATCATTAAGATTGTTAGATAAACTTTGGTAAATAGACAGAGAGACTTCAGAAAAACATATTGAAGTGATTTCATTTAAGAAGGTTATTATGTGTTGGTTGAAAAAGAGTATCAACATTAATATCACTGAAATTAGTGTAACTATAACAATGTTTAAAATTTTAAAAAATTCTACTTCTTTTTCATCCTTATCAGGCCAGGAACATGGCATTCTTTTTGAAGAGATTTTCATTTCAGGAATGAGAGCTTTCTTAATTTGTCCAATTTCTGTTCTGCTCCACTCTTCTTTTAATATTTTGCTTACTCGAGGATAAATTTCAACAGGCTGAACCTCAGGAAGTGGTCTTTGTTTCAAGATCTGCACACGTTGGCGGACATCATCAATTTTTTCAAGAAATTTAAGTGGAGACTCATCTTGTAATGAAGTTGTCACTGTCATTAATTCAAGCTGCTGCTCTCTTATTTCTTTCATTCTTTCAATTTGCGGAGTATATTCTTGATTAATCAGATTGCCAACATCACAGAGAGCTGTTAGGAAAATTTTTTTTTTCTGTTCCAATGTATCCATAAGCTCCTTAAAATACTGGAGAACAACTTCCTTATCACCTTGGACCATTTTCTCAGAATGCGATTTTTGTTCCTCTAGCTTTTCAATAAGACGAGTAAGATCTGTCCAGTGTGTATCAGTTAACTGTTTAAGCAGTTTTTGAGGTGTGTCCTTTTCTTTCATATAAGCACTCTGAAGATCATCTATAGGATGACCATGATGTTGACCTATAGTGAGGCAATGACCACAAACTAATTTTTTATCTAGCAGACAATAAACATTTAATGGCTGCCGATAATGTTCAGGGCAGGTGACAATATCTGGATGGTCTTCTTGCTGGTACTTTTCAATAATAGCCCTTAATGCAAAATTAACAGGTAATGATTCAATACCAGTTGGAGCAATTTCAATAATACTTCTGCAATTAGGGCACTTGAGTGGAATTCGTAAAGGTCTCCATATATAAAAGTTACCAGATGCCTGAAGAACATTTTCCAAACAATTTCTACAAAATGTATGAGAGCATGGTAGTACACGAGGATCTTCAAATATACTGTAACAAATGGGACACGTTAACTCATCCTCAAAATTGTGCATTTCCTGTCAAGAAAAAGAAGTATATTTAAAGTTTACATATAACAAATACATCTATTATATAAAGTTTCAGTCATTAACCTCCACTATACTTGTCACTGAAAAGGACAATTATTAAAAATTTTAAAAACGACATTCTCAGTAATTCAAATCCTAATCTAATATTGAATTGATAATCTTTAAGAGTTTATTGAAAAGTCAACCCAAGCAAAATGATTCCAATTAGTTCGTAATACAATGCTTCAAATTAGTCGTTTAAATTTGTTACCATGTACTGAAGACTTAAGAAAAATTCAAAATATTCTGCTGAAATCTAATTACAACTACTATATGCAACTTTTTTTCATTATGCTAAAATCAAAGTTTATAGCTAAATGAATTTTCAACATTTTCAATAAGAAAGTTTGCATTGTCAAAAGATATGTATATAATGAATAAACAAAAATAAATATTTCTACTACATAATGTTACACAGAGTTAGCAATATAATATTTTTTAATTCAAAAGGAAAAAACATGCTTTGAGTTGGCTCAGTTCTTTAATTCAAAAGGAAACATAGTCCCCAGTTGGCTCATTCATGTTTTGTTCTTTTTGTACTGGGAACTGAATCAACCCAGTCCTTTTTTGTTTGTTTGTTTTAGATAGGATCTCACTAAATTGCCTAGACTGACTTCTAACTTGCAATCCTGTCTCAGTCTCCCAAATTGCTGGGATTATAGATGAATGCTGCTGTTTTTGCAGTGCTGAAAACAGAACATAGCCTTGTACATGCTAAGAAAGCCCTTTACCAATGAGCTAGGAATTAAACCAGTCCACAGTGTAATTTTCTAAAGCAATAATTTTAACTTGAATATTTGGAAAAGAAAAGGATTTTAAATAGACCTTGAAATAAAAATCAGTTCGAAATATGAAAAAGTTGATTCTGATGACTCTGAAGCACTGAGTAGTGAAAAACTAAAGTAAAGATGCTAAAGAAGATAAAGGACACCATTAATCATCTTTCCTTCACTAAAAAATGTGTATGAGACAGAAAAATAGATCCAGTAATAGTTCAGAAATTTACTGACACAAGTAACGACTTCTTCGCAAGCTACTGATATTTTCAACAACAGAAGCCTGACTTACCCCTTTGATGGAAAAAAAAAAAAAGTTATATCACTGTTAAAACACCAAAACAAGAAAATCCAAGTGCTATTCATGTAACATACTATTGAATATCAAATCCTCCTGTATTACACCAGATTTTTAGATTAAAAGTCTGTGAAAACAGCATCTAAAAATAACTAAATACACTTTTAAGAAAGATTAAAAACCTCTGTAGACTTTAGCTGTTTAGCTTCCTTTACTATATACCAAACTCCTATCCTTCAGCATGAAGCTGGCTCTGCACCAGTTTAGGACTCTGTTAATCTTATTGCACTTTTATTTCATAGCACATAAGAGATTTATAAGAATTTTGTACCAGGCACAGTGGCCCAGACCTACAATCCCAGCAACTTTCGAGGCTAAGTAAGGTGGTAGGATCACAAGGAGGCCAGTTTTGACAACCTGGTGAGACCCTGTCTGGAGAAATAAAGGTCTAGAGATGTATGTAGCTCAGCGGTTGAGCATTCCTAGGTTCAATTAAAAAAAAAAAAAAAATTGAATAAGGATAGGAATTATGTCTAAACTATGCTATATTTCTACAGTCTACACACACAACTTAACACATTAAACATTCATTCCCCATTGGTTGAATCTTAAAAAGTTTTTTTAATAGCAAAATTTCTATTTAGGAAAAGCTTTAGCAGGAGAGTCCATCAGGAAATACTCTATTCAGACTGACAAAATTCAGATCCCTAATGAGCCAAGCTGTGTCATACAGAGACTAAATTTGAATTGTGAAGCATTCCAGGAAACTAAAGTTAATTGGACAATAGCATAGAAGATAATAGTCACTGCAGATAAATTCAAGTGAATGCATGTTGGAAAACCTTTACCACTCTACTCACACCTACAGAGACACTGAAGTCATTCAAACACCATCCAAGAAAAACAAACATATTTCTCAAGAATATTTCAGTGATGTCATAATGCACAATGAAGGAATACACAGAGCAGCTAGAATAAAATTTAAATAGACATTCAACCTAGATTTAATATTATTAGAGTTATTTAATGTATAACTAGCATAACTAACCCTAAAAAATCTTAACATTTCATTCCAAAGCCCTTTATGTATACTTGTCAAAATGCTAGAGAAAACTTCTCTGAGAATGTATTTAGGGACCCAAAAGCTTGAATTTCTTTAGAATGAGAATATTCAAATAATAATAATAAGCCATCTCCAGTGCTTATATAAAATGGAACATAATAGAATAAAAAATCATGGTCTCAAAGTTACTGCTACAGTATGTAGAATTTTTATTAAAATTTAACCAGAAACTTACAGATTAAATTTAAATATCAGTGAAATCAAATTTTATTCTGACTACCCTCTTGCAGATTTCTTAAAAACTGTGGGTATCAAATTAGATAGAAATCATAACGTAAAAGGGACATGCCAAAAAAAATTTTTTTTTAATAAGGCCAGGAACTTTCTGACTGGTTACTGCCTAAGAACTACAGGATTACAGGTTGCTATCACACTTGGGCACTATTTTTCCAGAAATCAGTATGACACTGTAGACCAATGGTACAGAATAGAGGACACAGAGACTAACCCACATAATTACAGTTATCTTATATTAGACAGAGGTGTCTAAAACATACACTGGAGAAAAGATAATCTCTTCAACAAATGGTGCTGGGGAAACAGGAAATCCATATGCAACAAAATGAAATTAAATGCTATTTCTCACCATGCACAAAACTCAACTCAAAGTGGATCAAGGACCTAGGAATTAAACCAGAGACCTTGTGTCCAATAATAGAAAAAGTAGGCCCAAATCTCCATCGTGTGGGATTAGGCCCCAACTTTCTTAATAAGACTCTAATAGCACAAGAATTAAAATCAAGAATCAATAAATGGGATGGATTCAAACAAAAAAGCTTCTCAGCAAAAGAAACAATCAGTGAGGTGAATAGAAAGCCCACATCTTAGGAGCAAATTTTTACCACTCACACATCAGATAGAGCACTAATCTCTAAGGTATATAAAGAACTCAAAAAGCTAAACACCAAAAAAACAAATAACCCAATCAATAAATGGGCCAAGGAATTGAACAGATACTTCTCAGAAGATGATATAAAATCAATCAACAAATATATGAAAAAAAATGTTCAACAACTCTAGCAACTAGAGAAATGCAAATCAAAACTACATTACATCTCAACATAGTGTTGGCGAGGATGTGGATTAAAAGGCACAATCATACATTGCTGGTGGGACTGCAAATTGGTGCAGCCAATATGGAAAGCAGTATGGAGATTTCTTGGAAAACTGGGAATAGAATCACCATTTGACCCAGCTATCCCACTCCTTGGTCTATATCCAAAGGACTTAAAAACAGCATACTACCAGGGACACAGCCACATCAATGTTTATAGCAACACAATTCACAATAGCTAAACCATGGAACCAACCTAGATGGCCTTCAGTAGATGAATAGATAAAGAAAATGTGACATATATACACAATGGAATATTACTCATCAATAAAAGAGACTAAAATCATGGCATTGGCAGGTAAATGGATGGAGTTGGAGAATATAATGCTAAGTGAAGTTAGCCAATCCCCCCCAAAAAAATGCCAAATGTTTTCTCTGATACAAGAGGATGATTCACAGTGGGGTTGGGAGGGGGAGCATGGGAGGATTAGATGAACTGGATAGGGCAAAGGGGTGGGAGGGGAAGGGAAAGGGCATGGGGGTAGGAAAGCCGGTGGAATGAGATAGACCTCGTTACCCTAAGTAGTATGAAGACACAAATGGTGTGATGATACTTTGCATACAATCAGAGATATGAAAAATTGTGCTCTATATGTATAATATGAATTGTAAGGCATTCTGCTGACATATATAACAAATTAGAATAAAAAATAAATTTAAAAAAGAGATAATAACCTAATAGCTAAAAAAAAAAAATTATACAGTTGAGATGGATGCAGTTTGTTGTGCCTCTTACAACCCAATAAAGCTGCTTTTAACAAAAAAATAAAACTTTATGCACCAAAAAAATAAAACTTTATGCAACCTGCAGTGGGTGGAGGGGATGACAACTTTATATGAACCTCTTAAATTTACTGTTTTAGAAAGTGAAAACATCAATAATGACACTGGAAACTAGAAAACAATGAAGCAATGCTTTCGATATTCTCAGGGGACAAAAAGCCTTCCTTAATGGAACCTAAAATACATTTTGATATAAAGGTAACTAGACATGAAACCTCTCACAAATGAGACCCTGCCAATCATTCTTAATGAAGCTACTGCAGGAGAAAAGAAAATAATTCTCATCAGGATAACAAGGAAACAAAGTCCAGAACAACAGTACAGTCCTAAAGAACAGTGTGTCTAAAAAAGACATACAGGGGTGTCTTTAGGTAAATAAAGGAACTGACAAAATTTTTCATGTACTTGAACATACTGAGAGGTCATAAAAAAAAACTAAATTTAGGAAAAAGGAATAGATATAAAAAGAGAATAATATTATATATCCTAGCTGTTTTATTAACATAGTCATATTACATTACATGTGTACACACACACACATATATCATAAAACTGATTTTACCAGAGCAACAAAAAAATGTGGGGTTTTTTTGGAGGGGGTAGGGTCAGGTTTCTGGGCATTGAAACCCAGGGACTTTCTACCACTGAGCTACATTCCCATCTCTTTTTTGACTTTTTTTTTTATTTATTTATTTTTATTATTTAGTTTGAGGTGACACATTATCTTTATTTTATATTTATGTGGTGCTGAGATCGAACCCAGTGCTTCACACATAACAGGTGAGCTATCACTGAGCCACAATCCTACCCCCTTGATTTTTTATTTTGAGACAAGTTCTCACTAGGTTGTCCAGG